GCCCGCCCGGGCCGCGTGCCAGGCCCCGCGCCACCACTCCATCATCATCCCAGTGAGCCCTAATGGAGCACTTAAAGGTGCCAGGCCCCGTGCCAGGCGTCTTCTGCGAGCCACCTTGTCAAGACCTCCCCGATTCCCTGGGAAACAGGGGCCAGGGTTATCGCCGCTTTGCAGGTGCAGCAGCCACATCCCAGAGAGGCAGAGCGGCTTGTCCAAGGACACACAGCGTGTGATAAAGAGGAGCCATCACAGCAGGCCTTTGTCCAGAGCTCGCTCTGTGCCCATCCCAAGGGCGTGGCACGCCAATCCAACTTCTCAGCCTTGGGAGAAGTGGGTGCAAAGAACCAGGGGGTAATCGGCTACAACTGTGATCCCCACCTGCAGGTGGGGAAACCGAGGCACAGAATGTCCCCCCCCTGGTGTTCCCACAGTCCAGCAGTGCATAACGGCACTGCGCACAGCAGCCTGAGTTTGGGGTGTGGGAAGTCCCACTCTGGCCTTGCCCGTCTCTGTGACTCCCTTCCACTCTCCCCTGGGGCTTCAGTCACCTGAGCCGCTGCCTCAGGGGAGTTTCAATGCTTTTCCCCAGGCAAGTGGGCAGCATTTGCCCTGCCCAGGGCTGCCCCCATCTGTGCTACAGATGGACAGTACACTGGGAGAATGTGCCTGATGAAAAAGGAATGCATTTGGAAACAGCCTGAGTGCCCATCAGTAGATAAGTGAATAAAAAAATGAAACAGTGGTACATCTACACAATGGAATACTACACAGCAATGAAAAAGGAAGCACTCTTACCATTCGCAGCAGCATGGCTGGATCTGGAGAGCATTATGGTGAGCGAAATGAGCTAGTCGGAGAAAGATAAGTATCTTGTTCAGACCTATGTCATACTTTCAACAATAAAGATTTTTGAAAGAACGAGAGAGAGAGGTGGGGGGAAGGAAGGGAGGGAGGGAGGGAGGGAGGAAGGAAGGAAGCTGGGGACTGGAGGTGGGTGTGGGCACTTTAAAGTGGGGGTCGGGGACATGGAGTCCTGGGGATGAGCTGCTCCATCCAGACTCTCCCCTGTAGGATGCATTCCCTCACCTTCTCCTTGATTTATGCAAGTTCCACTGGGTCAACTTCGGAGGCCTATCCAGCCCCGGCCCAGGCCACCTTCTGCTCTCCACCTTCCCTCCCCAGGAGCCTCCTCCAGACCTGCCTGCCTCCTGCACTGTGTTCAGGTCTGATCTCTCACTCCCCATCTCCCACAAGACAAACATCAATGTTATCCCAGCCCTCGTCCACCTCTCTCACTCAGGGTGGGCACCTCAGTTGGGATGGTTGACTGTGGCCCAGGGCCTGGTTGTGCATACAGCAGCTGTGTGACCTCTGATGAATTACCTAACCTCTCTGTGCATTTTGGTTACCTGTTTGTAAAATGGGGAGATGACCTTCATACAATAGCCCCGATATTCGGGGGGGAAAGGCACCTCCTCTTTGCAGCCCCCATCCCCAGGACGGGTGACGTGTCAGGACCCTTCCTTGTTCTGCAGACTCTCGGCCGGGGCCTGGGTGCATTTGTGCAATGGGTGCCTCCTCTGGGGATCTGTCCTCCCAGGTGCTGTCCCTGCTGTCCCGAGGGGGTTAGTGACCTGCTGAGGTCACGTGGCTGGTGAGAGCTAAGCCCAGACCCCCACAGTTCCAGCCGCGGCAGCTGCAGGTGCGTCGACAAAAGACGTTTTTGTGATCATAAACAGAGCTGTATCAGAGTCGCCTTCTAGACAGAAGGAAAGGTCTAGAACAGGGAATAAAATCTCCATCGCTTAGTTTTTAAGATTCACTGAACCTTCCCACTTGCAGCAGAAACAGCTTACTTTCAAATTAGTCAACCAGTGTGTGAGTCATTTCTTTGCAAGCTCCTGTGCAGGGAATACTAATGTGAGCTGCCCTGCGGGTGGGTCCCGGCACAGGCGCCTACGGGGGCCCTGCAGGAGCGGGGCCGGGGGCACCTGCGCAGGGAGCACCCCCAGGGATGCAGCCCCCACCCCCACGTGCCTTCGGGGCCTTAAGGAAGCAAATGCCTGCTTCTGTCACCCTCCCTGCCGGCGCCCAGCAGCCCCCAGTCTCAGCCTTGCTGCAGCAAGAGGGTAATGAATCCGGGAGCAGGGGCTGAGGCGGCGCCCACATAAGTCATGCCCACGCCAATGGGAGGAGGCGAGGCCCGGAGCCAGGCTGCTGCACACTTACCCCAGAGACCTCGGATCTGCCGCAAAGGGGGTGGGGCGCCCAAATGACTCAGACGGAAGCCGGTGACAGCATGAGGGGCAGAGGGGAGAATGGCCTCGTGAGCTGCACCCTGCCCCACTCCATGGCCTGCAGAGGCACCCCTAAGCCTGCACATCCACCCACATCCTCATTCATTCGTTCGTTCATTCATTCATTTGTTCACTTGTCAGTCCTCCGTTACGGCTGCTCTGAACTGAACCCATTTAGACCCGGGTGAGGATAGGGAAACAGAGAGTTCACCCCAACGTGGATGAGAACTTCTCTGAGGAGGCAGGCAGGGAAGGCTTCCTGGAGGAGAGGACAGCAAGCTGAGCCTCAGGGGGTATCGAGGGAGCCTGGTGGTGGGGGTAGGGAGGGGGAACGCACAGGCCTGAATGTATAGACAACGTGAGGCGTTGTTGGTACAGATGGACGGGCAGGGCCAGGTCAAGAGCCCAGGGACAGAGGCCTGGGGGCTGTCCCCCAAGGCTGCTGGGGCCCAGGAGCTGTGTGTAGGGCAGAAGCCTGGGCAGAGTGGAGGTCTAGGCGGCTTGCCCAGGTATAGGCATAACCCGTGGACACAGACACTTAAGCCCTGGGAGAGGAAGTGGCTTCAACAGGGGCCGTGGCTGCGGGGATGGCGAGGCTGAGGCGAGGCCACGCTGGAGGCCCAGCTGCTGGTGTTGCTTGACTCAGAGGGGGAGGCCGGGGTGTTGCCAGGTGTTGTCGGGGCTCCAGGCCTGGAGAGGGGGCGATAGAGCAAAGGCTGTGGTTCCCGGGGAGGTCTGGAGCTTGTTCCCGGGGGACCTGGCCACACCGAGGTCCCAGGACAGCCCCAGAAACCTCTCCTCGTGACGGGCACCTGCCCGAGAGAAACCCTTACCTCCTCACATTGATGAAGGGCTCAGGAGTGGCTGCTCCTGGCAGGCCCTGACTGATCCAGGTCTGAGTCCCCTCCTCCCCCCGTCCCCTCCCTGTTCAGCCGTCCTCAGAGGCATAGCTGCCACCGTCACCTCCCAGGGCTGGGGTCTCCATGCAGGGAGCCCCGGGAGTTTTTCCCTCCTCCACCTCATCCCACAGCTTCTCCAGAGGCCCCGGCAAAGGTCCTGGCTCCCTGGTGCTTCCTGTGGCTAATCCATCTCTCTTAGGTCCTGCACGTCAGACCCAGAGGGAGCCTCGAGAGAGAGCACCCGCCTGAGCCCCCTGTGCTCCGCGGCCCAGGGCGGTGACTGGTCCAAGGTGTCCAAGGAGAAGGGGAGGCCGGGGCCCCAGGACCGGGAGGAAGTAGCTGCCAGCTTGAGAATCCTGTGTGCCCCAAGAGGAACACCCCCGCCTCCTGGAAGGCGCTTACAGACGTGGGGAGGAGGGAAGCTGTGGGGGAGGCAGGTGTCATTAGCGTGGGGGAGAGAGTGGGTGTCGTCAGTTGGGGGGGGTCCCGACACTCCAGAGTAGCACCCAGACCCCTCCAGCTGGCCAGCTCTTCCCTGTGCTGTGGTTCCCTGCTCCTGCCACCACCCTCCTCCCCCCACATGCCTGATGGGGCTGTGGCAACGGGGGTTGGGGGAGCGGAGGAGGGCAGCAGGGTTTGGTCCCTCGAGGCTCTGGGAGGGTCCGGGAGGGAGCAGAGGATGCTGGCAGGAGTGGAAATTATGAGCCAACCCCGCAAGTCTGAGCACGGATTGCCTGCAGATTTCTTAGATATTTTCACCTTTAAAAAAATTCTTTTTTAAGAGCATTAAGCATGGAAGTCGATTTTGACAAGAGAAGCACTGCGTGACCCCGCACCCCAGCCACCGCCCGACTCGCCGCCTCGGTGCCCACTGCAGCCACAGGCACCGCCACCTCTGGTCTCCGCTTTCTCGTCTCGTCATGTTTCATTAGCCGTCTCCGTCTTCTAGTTGGGAAAAAAGTGCGGGCGGGACAGGGGGAGCAGGGGGGTAGACACCGTCAGAGCTTCCTTCAGTTTTCCAACTGCAAGGGTGTCCCCGAGACCCCTACGCACACACACACACACACACACACATGCACACTTAGACACACACATGTGCGCACACACCGCACACACATACATGCACACACGCACACATGCACACGCACATGCACGCACGCACACGCACACAGGCCTCATCCCCGGGCTCCCGGGCTGGAGAGGGGCCACTGCCATATCTCACCGACAGGCTGACTAACCCGCTCATTCTCCGGAGAAACCCTTCCTGTGGCAGGGTCACCGGGGCTGGCGTGTTCGCCAGGGGGCTCGGGCACCACCCTGCTCTGATTTCCCTTCTCTGTGGGACCCTGGGAGCAGCCCCTCCCTCCTGCTCCCCCTGGCTGCTGAGCCCCTGTCATTAGCCACGAAGGTTGAGCCCCGCTTGGCAGCAGCCAGCGCTCAAGGCAGGGAGGGCTGCGCACAAACACCTTGCTGTTCCTCCCGGGCGGTTCTCCTAGGAGCACAGCTCCAGGAACAGGGCGGCTCGGCTGCAGGACAGCCACACGCTCATGCTCTTCCCGTGAATTATCGGCTCCCTTTCAAGCGAGCTGTAGGGCTGTCGAGCCCCCCACCGCCCTCTTGATTTCAGCACAGCGGCCCGGCTCCGGGGGCGTCATTAACAGTATCTATTCAGCTTGTGCATCAGGTACAAAATGATCCAATGTGAATCTCAGTGCTATCACTTTCCCAGAAAATAGATTGCAGGGTTGTTTTTTTTTTCCTTTTCTCTCTGGTGCGGTATTTTCACAGCTATTTTGATTACATGGAACCCTATGAAATTGCCTAGATTCTATCAGTTCTGCCCTCCAGACATGGCGATTTCATATGCTTCACCCCGGCACTGAGGATTTGAGTGGCAGGCTGCAACAGGCCATCAGGAGAGCAAAGACCAAATGGTCCTTTCTTCTTCCTCCCTGGCAAGACATGACATTCAATTTTAGGAAATTAATTCCATCCCTGACCTGCTTGTTCCCTACAGGCTTATGTCAACGGAACAGGGAGCCGGGGGGGGGGGTCTCCGAGGCGTCTGCTATCGCAGGAGCCAACCTTTCCTTGTAGCCTGCCTTCTCTGCCAGTCTCACACACAGTTTCCTCTGCCTACATCACCTTTCCCTGTGGTCAACTCTACTTCATTCTAGGGTTTCATTTAGGCCAGTAGTACCCCTACCTTCTTTTTTTAAATATATATTTTTATTGATTTCAGAGATAGAAACATCAACAATGAGAGACAATCATGGATCAGCTGCCTCCTGCACGCCCCCCACTTTGGATTGAGCCCGCAACCTGGGCATGTGCCCTGACCAGGAATCGAACTGTGACCTCTTGGTTCCTGGTCAACCAGTGAGCCACTGCGGCTGGGTAAGACCCCCTACCTTCTGCAGGCTCTCCCCACACCAGTCCTGGCCACCTGGGAGCTCTCAGCAGGGCACCAGGATGCCAGACCGTCCCGAGTGTGTGTGTGGGGGGGGGAGGGGGGGGAGAAAAGCAGAAAAGAAAACCGAGGTGCAGGCCGCTGGCCAGAGCTGCCCACCGTCAGCACCGTGGGGGGTGTTAACCACACTGACTTAATGAACTCTCCATGACACACACATCCTGGTTTTTTCCTAAACTTCCGTAAAACACAATGCACAGCGCAGTTCACCATC